CCACTGTTTTAGCGTGGTGAGATGTGTTCCACACATTTCTTGATTGAAGGCTTCTTATTGTTCTTATACTTTTGTGGAGAGGGTCACCATGGCTTGACAACATAAACACTACCTTTCATGTACAGCTGTCCCTAATTTTAACAAAAATGACTATATTTATGCCTTATTCTGAAGCAATGAACTTCTCTGATCATTATTTTGTGCAGGCCAATTTGCGCAACTCCGAAGTACTTCTCAGTTTCTGGCACGTGAACAAAGAACAAAGGAAACGAAAATGCAGAAGTCACTTGTTTTTTTACTTATGAGTTTGACTACAGGCAATTTCTGCAAGGTCAGATCCTCAGAGCTTGATTACTTCTCTGAGGGTATACACTAAGAAGCCTTCCATACAGCAGCATTATAGCAGTTTGGCACCAGTTTAACTGCCATGGCTCCGTCCTCCAGAATTCAGAGATTTGTGATTTGTTGTGAAACAAGAGTTCTCTGAAAAAGAAAGGCAAACATCTCACCAAACTATGAATCCCAGAATTTCATAGCATTGAAACTTGACAGTTAATGTGGTGTTGAACTGATATAATGCTGCAGTGCGGATACAGTCTGAGTAGTACTGTTTTCCCTCTCTTCTTATAAACAAGGCACTTCTCTTAATCTGCTAGAAACTAGGGACAGATCTATACTGAGTTACAAGCTGGGTAGATGCGGGGAATGCCATGGATGTAGCGTACCTGGATTTCAGGAAGGCCTTCGACAAGGTCCCCCATGACCTTCTGGCAAGGAAACTAGTCCAATGTGGGCTAGGCAAAACTACGGTGAGGTGGATCTGTAATTGGTTAAATGGACGAACCCAGAGGGTGCTCACCAATGCTTCCTCTTCATCTGTGATGAGCGGCGAGCGGAGTCCCGCAGGGTTCCGTCCTGGGCCCGGTCCTGTTCAGGATCTTTATTAATGACTTAGATGAAGGGCTAGAAGGCAGGATCATCAAGTTTGCAGACGACACCAAATTGGGAGGGATAGCCAATACTCCAGAGGACAGGAGCAGAATTCAAAACGATCTTGACAGATTAGAGAGATGGGCCAAAACTAACAAAATGAAGTTCAACAGTGACAAATGCAAGATACTCCACTTAGGCAGAAAAAACAAAATGCAAAGATACAGAATGGGGGACAATGCCTGGCTCGAGAGCAGTACGTGTGAAAAAGATCTTGGAGTCCTCGTGGACAACAAGTTAAACATGAGCCAACAATGTGATGTGGCGGCAAAAAAAGCCAATGGGATTTTGGCCTGCATCAACGGAGCATAGTGTCTAGATCTAGGGAAGTAATGCTACCCCTCTATTCTGCTTTGGTTAGACCACACCTGGAATATTGTGTCCAATTCTGGGCACCACAATTCAAGAGAGATATTGACAAGCTGGAATGTGTCCAGAGGAGGGCGACTAAAATGATTAAGGGTCTGGAGAACAAGCCCTATGAGGAGCGGCTTAAGGAGCTGGGCATGTTTAGCCTGAAGAAGAGAAGGCTGAGAGGAGATATGATAGCCATGTATAAATATGTGAGAGGAAGTCACAGGGAGGAGGGAGCAAGCTTGTTTTCTGCTTCCTTGGAGACTAGGACGAACGAGGAACAATGGCCTCAAACTACAGTATAAATATGTGAGAGGATCCATAGGGAGGAGGGAGCAAGCTTGTTTTCTGCTTCCTTGGAGACTAGGACGCAGAACAATGGCTTCAAACTACAAGAAAGGAGATTCCATCTGACCATGAGGAAGAACTTCCTGACTGTGAGAGCCGTTCAGCAGTGGAACTCTCTGCCCCGGAGTGTGGTGGAGGCTCCTTCTTTGGAAGCTTTTAAACAGAGGCTGGATGGCCATCTGTCAGGGGTGATTTGAATGCAATATTCCTGCTTCTTGGCAGAATGGGGTTGGACTGGATGGCCCATGAGGTCTCCTCCAACTCTTTATGATTCTATGATTCTATAGTTTATTTTACATTCTGCCACAATTGTCAACACATTTTCTCTTCTTAATTAGAAACTTATCCTTTTAGTGGCATTTACTGCAACTCAATCAACAAAGTTATACAAGTATCTATACTTAGACAACACCAGTATTCCACGTTTATAGTGATTAAACCCCTCTGAAAGTTTCTAAACAGGCTGATTGCCATCTTTCAGGAGGGCTTCCTGGCTGAAGGGGGCTGGGCTGAATGTTCTTTGGGGGCATGCTATCTTTTGGGAGGGTCTCTGCAAAACCATAGTTTCCTCTCTTTCGATCCAGGTGCTTCCTTTCTGTTTTAAAAATTCAAACAGCTGCACCACTCCAGAGCTCAACCAACCTGCTAATATTCATTCTCCCTCTTAATAAAGCATTTCCTTTCCGTTTGGTAAAACTTCCCGTTCATGTTTGGCTGTTCCCAAGTACAATCGGCACCTCCTTTCATTCCCATTTTAAGTGTTCTTCAGAAAGTTGACAACACAGAATTACTGAAATCGGAGAGGGGGGATGCATGGGTTAGTTGAAGTGAATTCTAATAATCTTAACAGATGAGAGAGATGATGGGCCAAAACTAACAAAATGAAGTTCAACAGGGACAAATGCAAGAGACTCCACTTAGGCAGAAAAAAGGAAATGCAAAGAGACAGAATGGGGGATGATGCCTGGCTTGAGAGCAGGATGTATGAAAAGGATCTTGGAGTCATTGTGGGGAGGAAGTTAAACATGAATTAACAATGTCATGCAGCAGCTAAAAAAGCCAATGGGATTTTGGCCTACATAAATAGGAATCTAGACCAGAGAGATATTGACAAGCTGGAATGTGTCCAGAGGAGAGTGACTAAAATGATAAAGGGTCTGGAGAACAAGCCCTATGAGGAGCGGCTTAAGGAGCTGGGCATGTTTAGCCTGAAGAAGAGAAGGTTGAGAGGAGATATGATAGCCACGTATAAATATGTGAGAGGAAGCCACAGGGAGGACGGAGCAAGCTTGTTTTCTGCTTCCTTGGAGACTAGGACGCAATGGAACAATGGCTTCAAATTACAAGAGAGGAGATTCCATCTGAACATGAGGAAGAACTTCCTGACTGTGAGAGCCGTTCAGCAGTGGAACTCTCTGCCCCGGAGTGTGGTGGAGGCTCCTTCTTTGGAAGCTTTTAAACAGAGGCTGGATGGCCATCTGTCAGGGGTGATTTGAATGCAATATTCCTGCTTCTTGGCAGAATGGGGTTGGACTGGATGGCCCACGAGGTCTCTTCCAACTCTTTGATTCTATGATTCTATGATTCTCAACCTTGGGTCCCCAGATGTTTTTGGGCTTCAACTCCCAGAAATCCACGCCAGTTTACCAGCTGTTAGGATTTCTGGGAGTTGAAGGCCAAAAACATCTGGAGACCCCAGGTTGAGAGCCACTGAAGACCCAGGGAAGTTATGCTGTTCTGCCTTGGTCAGACCACACCTGGAATCACACTGTAACTAATTCTGGGCACCGCAATTAAAGGAAGATGTTGACAAACTGGATGTGTCCAGAGGAGGGTGACTAAAATGATCAAGGGTTTGGAGAACAAGCTCTACGAGGAGTGACTTAATGAGCTGGACATGTTGAGCCTGAAGAAGTGAAGGCTGAGATGAGACATAATGAGGGCCAGATGTGAGGAGAAGCCATAGGGAGCACCAGGATTGTGGCGCAGCTGGCTGAGTATCAGCTGCATTAAGATCACCCTGACCAAAAGGTCATGAGTTTGAAGCCAGCCCGGGCTGGAGTGGGCTTCCAACCAATTGTGTAGCCTGTTGTCGACCTTTGCAACCCGAAAGACAGCTGCATCTGTCAAGTAGGAAAATTAGGTACCACCTTGTGTGGGGAGGCTAAATTAACTAATTTATGAGGCCATAAAAAAAGACTCCAGCAAAAGCATGCGGGGAATGCGGAAGTACTTCATCAGTGTCGCACATGGACGCTGAAAGCGACAGCTCTCCTGGCAGACAGAAAAAAGTTAAATAGCCTCTGTGTATATCTGTATACATTGTATGTCAAATTGGCATTGAATGTTTGCCATATATGTGTTGTGTACATTGTAATCCGCCCTGAGTCCCCTGTGGGGTGAGAAGGACAGAATGTAAATACTATAAATATATAAATAGGGAGCAGGGGAGCAAGCTTCCTTTCTGCTTCCCTGGAGGCTAGGACGCAATGGAGCAATGGCTTCAAACTACAAGAAAGGAGATTCCATCTGAACATGAGGAAGAACTTCCTGACTGTGAGAGCTGTTCAGCAGTGGAACTCTCTGCCCTGGAGTGTGGTGGAGGCTCCTTCTTTGGAGGCTTTTAAGCAGAGGCTGGTTGACCATCTGTTGGGGGTGCTTTGAATGCAATTTTCCTGCTTCTTGGTAGAATGGGGTTGAACTGGATGGTCCACGAGGTCTCCTCCAACTCTAAGATTCTATGATTCTATGACTTCTGAGCAACTATGTTAAGCTAGATGTGTTTTGATCTTTCTCAAAGAGGCTTGGTTCCATATCAACAGGATAGATTTGCAACCCGAGAACCCACTTTAGGAGCTTTGTCTGATAATATTCTAAACTTGCCAGTGCTTTGAAGAAGCCTTCTCCCAGAGATCAAAAACATTTTGGCAAGTTCCCAAGATAAAGGACATTCCGGTGTCCTGGATGCAGACCCTATGGATTATGAACTCGGAATTCATTTCAGTGAGTTGTTGTAGGTTTTTTGGGGCTATATGGCCATGTTCTAGAGGCATTTCTCCTGACGTTTTGCCTGCATCTATGGCAAACATCCTCAGAGGTAGTGAGGTCTGTTCCAACAGACCTCACTACCTCTGAGGATGCTTAGATGCAGGCGAAACGTCAGGAGAAATGCCTCTCGAACATGGCCATATAGCCCCAAAAAACCTACAACAACCCAGTGATTCTGGCCATGCAAGCCTTCGACAATACATTAAATCATTTCAGTGACTTTGCCATTCACCCAGATGTTATTTTAAAATGCCTTCCAGCTTTCTCCCTGGTGTGCTGGTCTTGCGATAGAGCAGAGTCCAACTGGGGCTGCTGGAGGTGGCAGATTTGTTCCAGCGATGACAACTATTGTGCAACGACGTACGTTGGAGGAGGGATCGGTAAGTGCCCTTTATGGTTAATAATGTGGCTGGACTAGAACCCTCAAGATTGTGGGTCAACTCCTCCCAAATCCTACTAGTATTGGGTATGTTTGCCAAGCTTGGTCCATATCCATTGTCAGTTAGGTTCAGACTGCTTTTTGCTTATGGGTGAACCACAACTCCCTACATCATTAGTCATTGTGGTCAAACCCCACATCGTAGGTCAATTCCTCCTTAACTCTACCAGTATTTAAAGCTGATCATGATGGATATGTATACCTAGTTTGGTCCAGAGCCATTGTTGGTGGGGTACACAGTGCTTTCTAGATGTGAGTAAACTACAACTCTCATCATTCAATCTCACCCCCCTCCCCCCCCAAAAAAACCCCCTTGTAGTATGGAAAATTGGCTATGTTGGGACAGTGTGCAAGTTTGGTCAAGATTCATTCTCAGTGGAAGTCCCTGAGCTCTTTATGTAGGATGAACTAGAACTCCCATCATCCCAGGTCAACTCCCCCCAAACCCCTCCAGTATTTAAATTTGGTCAAAATGGGTCTGTGTGCCACATTTGGTCCAGATCCGTTGTTGCCGGGAGCCACAGGGATCTCTGGATGTCAGTGCCATCTTGGAAAATACATAGATACTAGGAGTGTGCACATTTTTTTTGTTAGTCATCGTAAGTCATAACAAATTCATTAAATTCATACTTACGATGCAATATCTGATGTGGGTGTGGCCCGCTCCAAAAACTTAAGAATCGAAACTTACCCAGTACTTTTTGCATTTTGTAAACTTTGAAAGCCTCCCAAAGTCAGTTTCATTTTCAGAACAAAGAAGCAAATCCAAAGAGGCTGCCTTTCCTCTTTAAATAAATGGCCTCTCGCCATTAGTAGAGAGAAAGCAGGGAGCGGAGTTCACTGGGAAAGAGACCGAGAAAGCACAGAATTGTTATCTATATAAATAAAAATGTATTGTTTGTTTGTGGAATTAACAGAACTTAGAAACCAGTGGGCGAATTGACACCAGATTTGGACAGCATAAACCTAACAACCCAATGTATGTCCGTCACTCAAATTTTTTTGATTTTGTCATTTGGGAGTTGTAGTTCTTGGGATTTATAGTTCACCTACAATCAAAGAGCATTCTGAACTCCACCAATGATGGAATTGAACCAAAGGTGACACACAGGACTCCCATGACCAACAGAAAACACTAGAAGGGTTTGGTGGGCATTGACCTTGAGTTTGGGAGTTGTAGTTCACCTACATCCAGAGACCACTATGGACTCAAGCAATGATGGATCTGGACCAAACTTGGCACAAATATTCCATATGCCCACATATGAACACAGATTGAGTTTGGAGGAAATAGACCTTGACATTTGGGGGTTGCAGTTACTGGGATTTATAGTTCACCTACAATCAAAGAGCATTCTGAACCCCACAAACGACAGAATTGGGGCAAATTTCCCACACAGAACAACAGAAAATACTTAAGGCCAATGTTAATCCAGTCCAACTCCCTTCATCAGGGCAAGAAAACGTAATCAAAGTCCTCCTGACAAAGAGCCATCCAGCCATAGACATAGATAGATAGATAGATAGATAGATAGATAGATAGATAGATAGATATGATTCACACATACACAGATATAATATCATAGATTTGAAAGGGACCCCAAAGAAGGACATACGTTGCATGTTCCAGAGTAGGCAAACCGAACAATCTCCACAACAACACTGACAAAGCAACAACAAGAAATACTGTTTACCCACAAGCATAAAGAAATTACATAGATTAGTAACTATTACTTTATTTTCCACATCATCAGACTGGCCACAGCAACACGTGGCAGGGGATGGCTAGTTACTAATAATATTACAATATAATGGTATAGTACAATATAGTAATATATAATATTGATGTTGTTTTGCTGTTGTAATTTTTGAGTTTTTAAATACTGGTAGCCAGATTTTGTTCATTTTCATGGTCTCTTCCTTTCTGTTGAAATTGTCCACATGCTTGTGGATTTCAGTGGCTTCTCTGTGTAGTCTGACATGGTGGTTGTGAGAGTGGTCCAGCATAGGGAAGCAGATGAGGAAACACAACATACAAACCACCTACAGACCCACCAAGAAAATCCAACAAATGCTATGTTCAGCAAAGGACAAGAGGGATCCTCTCACCTCTGCAGGAGTTTACCAGATACCATGGAGCTGTGGACAAGTCTACAGAGGGACCACCAAACGCAGCAGCATTGCCCAAACGCGAATCAAGGAACATGAAAGGCACTGCAGACTACTTCAGCCAGAGAAGTCAGCCATAGCAGAACACCTGATGAACCAGCCTGGACACAGCATATTATTTGAGAACACAAAAATGCTGGACCACTCCAACAACCACCATGTCAGACTACACAGAGAAACCACCATGTCAGACTACACAGAGGTAGTGAGGTCATTTGGTCCTTTGTCCCACCCTGGTCTTTCCACAGATATATAAACCCATTTTCCTACTTCCAACAGACCTCACTACCTCTGAGGATGCTTGCCATAGATGCAGGCGAAACGTCAGGAGAAAATGCCTCTAGAACATGGCCATATAGCCCGGAAAACCTACAACAACCCAGTGATTCCGGCCATGAAAGCCTTCGACAATACAATGTTTTTAATGTTTATGTATGCACATAATGAATTCTTGTCCCGGCATTGAATGTTTGCCATATATATGCTGTGCTCCGCCCTGAGTCCCCTTTGGGGTGAGAAGGGTGGAAAATAAATGTTTTAAATAAATAAATAAATGAAATATTAGCTATCCTTGAAGGGACCAACTCCAGCCAGATACTTTGCTGAATTGTTCCCTGCTTTCCTTCCTATAACAGGTGAATATTCGTCCCAGTCCATCAGCAAAGGCTGCGTCCCGGTTTGCCCGCAAGCAGGGATCAACATCGGCATCGCAGCCGTCTCCGTAAAGTGCTGCTCATCGTTCTTGTGCAACATCAGCGGAGCCTCCAGCGTCCAAGCCAACCACTTGGTCTTGGCCGCCAGCATCCTGGCCAGTTTTCTGTATCTCTTTAGGCATAGGCTGTGATTGCAAAGTGTCTCCATACAGGACACCCAGGATCTTGGCTCGCATTGCGTCGAGGAGACCCCAAATGTTGCAGAAATCGCATATATTCCTCATGGCATCATAATCCTCTATTGCTTCTAATCACATAGTGGGGAAAGCAGCATAGTGTAGAATGTTTGTGGCCTAACACTGCCCTCTTCAGGTAGGAGGCGTTACTGCAGGTTTTAAAAAAGGGACCCTGTGCCAAATTCAGCCCAAATTGCCCACCCATAACAACTTCATATTCTGAATTTTTTTTATAGAATTGAAATTGTCTCAGAGGCCTTAAGAGTGTTTTGCTTCAGGGAACATCGGGAGAGAAACTCTTCACTGGATCAAAATATAATTTTTGCAGCAATTTTCTTTGAGAAACCCTTTTGTCTGTTACATTTTACCCAAAGATGCATGCAGAATGTTGAGAAGTCACAATCTTGATCAGCACTTTTCTTCGTCTGTACTTTTTGAATATGAATAAAGGATGTTTTGATTCTTAAACTGTTTTATATCTTTCTTTTTATTATTGGCATAAGCTTTATGGAACTGAAAACAGGCTTGGTCTCCTTAGTGGATGATCTGCACAGGGAACTGGACAGGTGGAGTGTGTCCCTCTTGGTTCTCCTGGACATCTCGGTGGCCTTCAATACTGGAGGACACAGTATCCTTCTGGGATGCCTCCTGGACCTCTCGGTGGCCTTCGATACCGAAGACCACGATATCCTTCTGGGATGCCTCCTGGACCTCTTGGTGGCCTTCGATACCATAGACCATGGTATCCTTCTGGGATGCCTCCTGGACCTCCCGGTGGCCTTCGATACTGTAGACCATGGTATTCTTCTGGGATGCCTCCTGGACATCTTGGTGGCCTTCGATACCATAGACCACGGTATCCTTCTGGGATGCCTCCTGGACCTCCCGGTGGCCTTTGATACCCGTAGACCATGCTATCCTTCTGTGATGCCTCCTGGACCTCCCGGTGGCCTTTGATACTGTAGACCATGGTATCCTTCTGGGATGCCTCCTGGACCTCGGTGACCTTCGATGCCGTAGACCATGGTATCCTTCTGGGATGCCTCCTGGACCTCTCGGTGACCTTCGATGCCATAGACCATGGTATCCTTCTGGGATGCCTCCTGGACCTCTCGGTGGCCTTCGATACCATAGACCATGGTATCCTTCTGGGATGCCTCCTGGACCTCTCGGTGGCCTTTGATACCATAGACCATGGTATCCTTCTGGGATGCCTCCTGGACCTCCTGGTGATCTTTGATACCCGTAGACCATGGTATCCTTCTGGGATGCCTCCTGGACCTCCTGGTGACCTTTGATACCCGTAGACCATGCTATCCTTCTGGTGATGCCTCCTGGACCTCCCGGTGGCCTTTGATACTGTAGACCATGGTATCCTTCTGGGATGCCTCCTGGACCTCGGTGACCTTCGATGCCGTAGACCATGGTATCCTTCTGAGATGCCTCCTTCCCACCTGTGGACCCCTGCTGTAGACCATGGTATCCTTCTGGGATGCCTCCTGGACCTCCCGGTGGCCTTTGATACCGTAGACCACGATAGCCTTCTAGAGTAGGGGCTCATCTAATCTCATCAGGCAATGTATTCTATAATCGAGGAGCCACTGAGGAAATGGCTTTCTCACTTGTACCCACAAGGCGGGCCTGAGATAATGGTAGGGGTGAAAGAAGAGCCTCCCCCAAGGATCAGAGGCATCAGGCAGATTCGTGGAGGGAGATACGGTCACGAAGGTAGGCGGGTCCCAAACCGTTTAGGGCTTTGTAAGTGAGGACTGTACCTTGAATTGGGACCGGAAGATAAACGGCAGCCAATTGAGTTCTTTAAATTTAAATTAATTTAAATAATTAATTATCTATATAAATAAAAATGTAATGTCAGTTTGTGGGATTAACATAACTCAAAACCACTGGACAAATTGACACCAAATTTGGACACAACACACCTATCAGGCCAATGAGTGACCATCACTCATAAAAACACTGAAAACACAGCAGAATGGGCTTAAAAAGCCAAAAAAAATACATTACAACGCATGTGCAAAACCACATATATATATGCAAACATATGTTGCAGGTTCAAATCTGGGGAGTGGCATGAGCTCCCGTTGTTAGCCCCAGCTTCTGCCAACTTAGCAGTTCTAAAATATGCAAATGTGAGTAGATCAAAAGGTACTGCTCCAGCAGGAAGGTAATGGCGCTCCATGTAGTCATGCCGGCCACATGACCTTGGAGGTGTCTACAGACAACGCCGGCTCTTCGGCTTAGAAGTGGAGATGAGCACTACCCACCAGAGTCAGACACGACTGGACTTAATGTCAGGGGAAAACAGGTTGAGAACCACTGCCATAGAATAAATTCAGTTTGACATCACTTCAACATCATGGATCAAAGCTGTGGAACCCTGAGAGTTGTAGTTTTACAAGGACTTTAGTGTTCTCTGCTGAAGAGTGTTGGTGCCTCGCCAAACAATGAACTTCCTTCTGGATATTTTGCTGGAAACCAGTGGTAGATTGGTGGCTCTGTTGGGGATGCGGAGCGGTGAATCCATTCTGTTTTAGTCCAAGCTCTAAAGGACTTGGAACGGAGCGTGTTATAGGATATTATGGAACTGGGGAAAGTGAGGAAAGGGGCAGCCATATTGCTGAAGGGCACAATCACAGAATCAAAGAGTTGGAAGAGACCTCAAGGGCCATCCAGTCCAACCCCATTCTGCCAAGAAGCAGGAATATTGCATTCAAAGCACCCCTGACAGATGGCCATCCAGCCTCTGTTTAAAAGCATCCAAAGAAGGAGCCTCCACCACACTCCGGGGCAGAGAGTTCCACTGCTGAACGGCTCTCACAGTCAGGAAGTTCTTCCTAATGTTCAGATGGAATCTCCTTTCCTTAGTTTGAAGCCATTGTTCCATTACATCCTAGTCTCCAGGGAAGCAGAAAACAAGCTTGCACCCTCCTCCCTGTGGCTTCCTCTAACATATTTATACATGGCTATCATGTCTCCTCTCAGCCTTCTCTTCTTCAGGCTAAACATGCCCAGCTTTTTAAGCCGCTCCTCATAGGGCTTGTTCTCCAGACCCTTGATCATTTGAGTCGCCCTCCTCTGGACACATTCCAGCTTGTCAATATCTCTCTTGAATTGTGGTGCCCAGAATTGGACACAATATTCCAGGTGTGGTCTAACAAAAGCAGAATAGAGCATGGGGAGCATGACTTCCCTAGATCTAGACACTATGCTCCTCTTGATGCAGGCCAAAATCCATTGGCTTTTTTTTGCCGCCACATCACATTGTTGGCTCATGTTTAACTTGTTGTCCATGAGGACTCCAAGATCTTTTTCACACGTACTGCTCTCGAGCCAGGCATTGTCCCCCATTCTGTATCTTTGCATTTCGTTTTTTCTGCCTAAGTGGAGTATCTTGCATTTGTCCCTGTTGAACTTCATTTTGTTAGTTTTGGCCCATCTCTCTAATCTGTCAAGATCGTTTTGAATCCTGCTCCTGTCCTCTGGAGTATTGGCTCTCCCTCCCAATTTGGTGTCGTCTGCAAACTTGATGATCCTGCCTTCTAGCCCTTCATCTAAGTCATTAATAAAGATGTTGAACAGGACCGGGCCCAGGACGGAACCCTGCGGCACTCCACTCGTCACTTCTTTCCAGGATGAAGAGGAAGCATTGGGGAGAATCACCCTCTGGGTTTGTCCATTTAACCAATTACAGATCCACCTCACCTTGCCCTGCCTTTAAATTTATTTGATCCAGCTGGTCGCAGAGGGAGTTCCACAGGCTCAAGAACTGACCACAACATGTAATTGACTCAAGATCAACAAGACAATAGTTTGAACCCATCATTCCCAGCATTCTGATTCCGGTGCAACAATGCCCACTGAGTTCTGTTCCAGAACAGTTTCACGGCACTCTGATGGAAATGGGGCCCTTCAAAGAGGGCAATTGCGGAGCAGGTGAAATGAAGCACCTGGTAACAGGTAAGTGGGCTAGAATGGGGAACAGAGGGATTAAGAAGAGACTCCAGGATGTTCAGAAGTTAGGGAGGATTGGGGAATATTGACCACAGGATGAACTCCCAGGTGTGGACACAAGGTGGGGCTGTTGCTTCACTTAAAATTCCCTATATACAGTTCTCTACAATGGTTTCTGCCCATCTTTTGTGTTTTGGACTTCATTTCCCAGAATTCCTTGACTATTGGCCAAGCTAACTGGGGCTTCTGGTAGTTGAAGTTCAAAACACCTAGAAGACCAAAGCAAATGAAAAAAAATGGAGATTAATAGTTTGTGTATTGGAGTAAAAATCCTGGGTTATAGGTACACTGTAGAGTTAATGTAAGTCCTGGAAGCTGTAGTTTGGTGAGATGTACATATAACCCAGGATTTTTACTCCAATACACAAACTATTAATCTCCTTTTTTTTTTCATTTGCTTTGGTCCTCTAGGTGTTTTGAAATTCAATTTATTTATTTATTTATTATTTATTTCCAGTATTTCTGTTCCACCCTTCTCAACCCCGAAGGGTGGCTTACAAACCAGCCACAATATAATACAAATATAAACACAAATAGCAACAATTTAAAACAGTAGGTAAAACATTATGTTAAAAACACGTTAAAAACATTGTCATCAACCATATAGCCAATTTCCGTCCGGTTCAACATCCAAGGTGCTGTCATGTTTGCTGTCCAAAAGTCTGGTCACAGAGCCATGATTTAACCTTCTGCCTGAAAGAAAGGAGGGAAGAAGCCAACCTGATCTTGCTGGGGAGCGAGTTCCACAGGTGTGGGGCCACCGCCGAGAAGGCCCTGTCCCTCGTCCCCGCCAAACGCATTTGCGAGGCTGGCGGGACCGAGATAAGGACCTCGTCGGACGATCTTAAGCTATGAGGCAGGACATAGAGGGAGATACGTTTGGACAGGTAAGTTGGGCCAGGACCATATAGGGCTTTATAGGCCAAGACCAGCACTTTGAATTGTGCTCGGAAGTGGACTGGCAGCCAGTGGAGCTGACATAACAGAGGGGTGGTGTGCTCCCTGTATGTCGCTCCAGTTAGTAACCTGGCTACCGCCCACTGGACTAGTTGAAGTTTCCGAACAGTCTTCAAAGACAACCCCACATAGAGTGTGTTGCAGTAGTCCAACAGGATGTAGCCAGAGCGTGGACCACCGTGGCAGAGAAGCTAAAGACCTTGCAAAACTCAGGCTCCCAGGAATCCATCATGGCCATGTTTGTTGATGTCAGAATTGGGCACTTGCAAGAACCAGAGCCTTATCACATTGGGATGTAATCCGTTTATATCAGTATGCATCCCGTATTGTTTTGTGACTGGATGCATACTCTATTAAGATTGTGTGCTGGTACGGCTGTACCAGGAGCTCCAACTTTATTTTCTTTCTGTTATCTGTTTTGCAGTCATAGGACAGGCCTCCTGTCCATCATAATTAAGCTTTGGTTCCGCACCTTGTTC